CAATTCTCATGGCAGCGAGTGGGAAAAGCATGATAGAAGTTTCACAAACAAAACCTGCACCAGAATCTCCTCTTCTCAGGGCTCTTGAAATGAGCTCTACTCCTTCCTAGGATGCAAAGGAGCTGAATTTTCCAGTCGGGCTAGGATCATTTGTTTAGAGAGTCAGAGCAACACCCTGGGGTTGGCAGCCCTGCTCGACACTGTGTTTGTTGTCTGCCAAAGAAAAGGTGAAAATGCTTTTTCCACACTGTGAATCAGTTAAAATACTGATCCAACTTCTCCAGTCTTAGCCTTTCCAGAAAAAGTTCACTTAACATATCTTAGAACTAAACTTTGGATACGTATTTTAGTGTTGTGGGTTTTAAATCCATCGTATCAAAAGTAATTTTTTTGAGTAAGTAGTTATCCTTCCAGTGTTGCCTTTTTTCCCCATCTGAGAACAGAAACTGAAGAGATTTTCTTTCATTTAAAATTCCCCTAATTCCAGGCATTAGACACACAGTGGTAGGAACACTAAATGTCTGGATTTTTTACCTAGAAAAACCACTTATGTAACACACAGCTTTTAAACAGCTTAACAAATCCAGTACCTGATGTGACTGTGACCATGCGTGTAAAGTTTCAACTTGTACTAGGAGAAAAAGAAAAATAAAGCTGACTGTAAATGGGAGTGCTTACCCATCTTAACTGTATGGTATTTTCATCAGTCACTAGAACCTTTTTCCAGAGTAATCTCACTTTTTTCATACCCAGTTTGCTCAGGTATATTGTAATTCCAGCATTTATAGCCTTACCTGATTTTCTTTGTTGCTGCCTGTTAGGATATTTCAACAGTGACTGCAAGAAGTGAATAAGGCAGGTACAGCCAGGTCAGGCCCTGACACTAGTATTAAGTCTTCTCAGGGAAGTGGTGAAAACTGCATAATTAAAGTTATTTATAATGTGACTTGATAAAAAAAATTGGGAAAGAGGTGACAGTATAGTACAATACAAGTTTTTCTTCTCTAATTTCTATTGCTGTATTTGAGCTGTCCTTTGTACTATATTTTTGCAGTTCAGAGGCCAGTTAGGAACAGAAGTGATCTTTATTTTGTGCAAAAGTGTTTGTGTGTGTCCATATGTGTATTTTCTTAGATAGATACATAATGTAAATATGTAAGTTACTCATTACTGTGATGTTCTGCCATGTGATATTTCACACTATCATTTACCATCAGTCCTCAACTATGTATTTTTTTTTTCTTAAAAGGGCTCATAAAGGGCTTATGTTCAATTGCAAATTACAAGTTTGACAGAGCACATCAATTCATTAGCAGGGAGGTCAGATGTGCAAAAACCTTGACATATCAAAATGAGTCCTGACCTGGTCACTGAAAGAGTCAGAAACAAAGTATCTTAGATAGATGCTTACTTCCCCAATTTTGCTTTAAGCTACAGTCATCAATTATTTTGTAAGTCGAGAATGAATTTCTGGTGTAACTTTTTTCCAATTTTCTCTTTCATGATTGTGATTAAAAAGCCTTCTGCTCATGTTATTTTCTGTCATTTGACCTCAATAGCTTTCTACTTTTTGATACATGAAAGTAATTAAATGATGATTGGATAAATAACACATCTGAAAACAGCACTGGGAAAATAACAGATGAACATTACACTTGATAGTGCAATGAGACTGAGAAATGTTTTTCCATCTGGGTAAGATCCTGAGCTAAAGTTATCTTTTCATCCCTTTCCTCAGGAAAGAGAAAACTTGTTGTGCAGAATGAAATTGGAATAGTGATGGGGAAAGGGCAGTTCCTTTTTGCACCTTTTCAGCAGCAGAAACAAGAAGAAAATCAGGGGATAACAGAAACAAACCTCTCTTGGTCTTGGAGCAATTTTTAGCACTGATGGTGTATGAGAGGAGACTCACGGGCTGTGAGACCAAAATCTAGTGCAGTGCTGATAAGATGTTGTAACAAACAGCAAAAAGCCACCAATACTGTTACGTTCATATTTCTCTGTCAGGTGGAGCAGCTGCTACATACATCTCCCAGAGCAGCAGCTTAGTAAATGCACTGAATTGCATTTTGAATCTCTCACCCCTGCCTCTCTGGGGAAATGAGTTAAGGATGTGCCAAAGAACCATGCAAATAATCTTTTTCTCAGGAAAAAGTAGCTTAATTCAAGTCAGTATTGAAAAAGAGATAAAATAGGGTTTAAGCTGTTATCATATGCAGAGATATTTGAGGTAGTAGTCTGTATATTGATGGCAATTTAGTCTGAAAATAGTGTTTATTAACTCAAATATGTTGGACTTGAGAAATTAAACAATATGAAGATAAGAGATGCTCTACCCTGGATGATAATGTCAGGCTTGGTAAATGCCAGAAATGCAAATCTGTGAAGAGAGCACACCAGCCAGGACAAGGCTGGAGAGAGTGCAGCCAGGAAAACACCAACAGAAGACACCTTGAGAGAGGTAAAAAAACCAAAAAAAAAAAAAAAAAAAAAAAAAAAGACCAAAAGCTAATATAGAATTTAAATTCTGGATTAAGTTGCTACTTTCTCCCTTGGATCTTCAAAGTAAAATTAACATTTGTTGCTCCCTTTGAGTATAAAATTGGTTACAGAGCATTATTCAGATGATGGAGTTTGATAGACATAATATAAATCTGAAGTACATGATAAGAATATGTGTGTGTAATCTTCATAATATATAATTTGGAGGCTTTTGTTTTATGGTTTATTTAGGATTTTTTTACAAAACTTTTCTTCTTCTGTCAGATGAAGTGCCTACATGGCCACAGATGCTGCAGAACTATTGTACTCTTTTCTGATTTTACTGAGTTTTATTTGCCTTTAGGATGACTACAGAGGAGGCATATTTGAATTAAAACAATAATAACAGAGTGGTGTCAGTGAACAGAAGTGGTAATACACCTAAAGCTATAAAGGTTATTTTGCGGTAGCACAGTTTTCCAAACATAGAGTAACAAGAACATAACTTAAGCATTAAATTCACTTCGGAGCAGGAGGAAATACTAAAATAAAATCATTATATGTTGCAGTACTTACCTCACTTGCTACTGAAATGCCGTTTTTTCTGGAAATGTGCCGTAGCTCTGCAAATACCCTGGAACATTTTAGAAGTTTGAGAATAACTGTAGTGAGATAAGTAGAGTGAAAATACTAAAGTGCACAAGGATACCTTGGTTTGTCCCAAGTATACTGGAGAGTAACCATAGGGGATTGATGTAATGTGTCCTCCAGAAAAATACCAGAACATTGTTTATATAGTACTTTTTCTTTATTTAAAACAATTTCATCTTGGTTTAGCATGTGTGAGAGTTTAACAAGCATTGACAAGGCTTGACCATGCCTTGGTGATGTCCATCTGAAGCACAATATCAACACCAGTAATGAAATCTGTCATTTCTGTGTGAGGATTAAAAAACCTCCAAAACCAGTAAATTGCTTATAAATAAGAGTGGATATTATTTCTGTCCCAGCTCAGAAAGAGTTTCCTTCGGATGATATATAACAGTGTTTCTTTTTTTGTATATTTTTTATAGATTTTGTTTAAAAATTTAATTTCCAATCCACTGAGAATCGGTAGCGTCGATTCCTTTCCATTACAATCTATCTTGTCAATTCTATAAAGAGTCTGTAGGCATTTCTTTTGCATATTGTGTTCCTTTGTGTGCTTTAAAAAACTCCTGCTACCCTGTATATTATTCAGCCATTTGTGGCTTGAAACACTGCCTAAATGCTGGCTTATGTTTCCCCATTTTCAAGCCGTAGCTTTTTATGTCTCACAACTCAAGTCTTGCAGCAATAACACTGAGTTCCTGCTATGGTTAAAAAAACACCACCCATTTGAAAATATCATCTGCCACCACTTTATTGCACAATGAATAGATTTACTTTGGAGGGTTGCAATATCTCATGTGACTCTAGCTGTTTTTTAGAAATGAAGTTTTTATATAAATTCTGAAATAAGTTTTGCATTCTATGGCTGATTACTTTTTGGAAAAGTCGAAGTGGAAGATTTCTGACTGAATTCCACATGTAGGAGAGCCTTCAAAAAGTCCTTTCTGTATTTGTTCATTGTACTAATATTAAGCCAAACTTTGCTGAGACTTCACTGCTTGGAAGTACTATCTCTGTTCTGTCACCAGCCTTATCTGTTAAATCCCAATGAGTGTGAAAAACGAGAAAAATCTGGGTTTACTTGGCTGTTTCAGCAGTATGTTGAGAATGGCCAGATTGCTGGAGAAGACGACTCTCTTGGAAACCCTAACAGCCCGGCCTTCTCATCTGTAGGCACATAGAGCTCATCTGAGTGTGTAAATAAAAATAAATAATGCAGTGAAAAAATATGCAGAGTATTTTGCTGAAGTGTTTCAAATTTTGGATTTGCCGTAACTTAATTTAAATCTTTGGTTGGGATTTATGCAGGCAGGAGGGTCAGGTTTCCAATGCTGGATGTATGCAGGCAGGAGGGTCAGGTTTCCAATGCTGGATGTATGCAGGCAGGAGGGTCAGGTTTCCAATGCTGGGATGTATGCAGGCAGGAGGGTCAGGTTTCCAATGCTGGGATGTATGCAGGCAGGAGGGTCAGGTTTCCAGTGTTGGGATGTATGCAGGCAGGAGGGTCAGGTTTCCAATGTTGTAATTTAACACTTTTCTGCTACTACACCTTTCCTACTTTTATATCCTGTCACGATGCCTTTTTGCTGCATAGAAAGTCCCTTTTATTCCCCTTTCCTTTTCTGCTTTGAAGAGAACATTTGCTTCTCCTTTTATACGAGGTAATGAGATCAGAGTAGCTCCGTATTCTTTAAATCAATCTAATTTGGCTTCTTTTGGTGTATAGAATATCCTTCTTTTGCGCAGGGCTTTCATTTCTTTGTGCAGCAGCTCCATCTCCATCCCTCGCTACCTCACGTGCCTTTTAAATTAACAAAACGCAGCGGGCAGTTCTCACCCAAAGGGCCGCGCTCTGTTCTGTCTTGCAGGCTGATCCACGGCGGGCAGCTGCTGAACGGGCTGGCGGGGCCCACGGTGATGAACGCGGCTCCCTTCCTCTCCACCACCTGGTTCTCCCCGGACGAGCGCGCCACGGCCACGGCCATCGCCTCGCTGCTCAACTACCTGGGCTCGGCCGCCGCCTTCCTGGTGGGGCCGCTGGTGGTGCCGCCGCCCAACGGCACGGCGCAGCTGGCGGCGCCCGGCAGCGCCCCGCGCATCAAGGACCGCATCGAGGCCGTGCTCTATGCAGGTGCGGGCAGCGCCTGCAGCCGCGGGATGGTCACGCTCTCCCCCGTGCTTGGTGCTTGAGAGCCGCCACCCTCTAGTGGTTGGTTTGCACAGGGTCTGGTCTGTGGCTGGGGGAGAATTATTGAGTCATGAGGATTTATTTTTTTAATAGCCTTTCGTACGGGCTGACTTGAAAAGAAGTGGTGCAGTTGTTTGTGTCGGCTGATCTTGGGAGAAGTGTCTTGTTAGAGCTTCCCCGAGCTTCAAAACTGGGTTTTGCTTATTGAATTTTCATTAAAAATATGTTTCCGTGACAAGTTGGGTTTTTTCTACTGTTTCTGTAGGAATGGAAATTCAATAGTCTTTTAGCATGAAATTCTATTCTGCATTAACTGAGCCTTAATTTATGACCTGCATGTGCCTTTCAAATGTGATTAGATAATTAGTATTTCAGAATCTACAGAATCAGAAACATTGAAATTAAAACACGATAGATTTTGGTTTTAGCTAAAACCACATAATTCTTACTGGTGAGCAATTTCAATGAAGTGACAACAGTTTAGTGGAAAAAATCACTGATACAAAATTCACTTGATAAAACTTGGATTTTATATCCTCGCTCTTTTTATTGCAATGGCTTCTATGCCTCTTCCTGTCTTAGAAAAATTAGCAGCAAACTTTAAGGAAACAGAATTGGTTAAGTGGTTAAAGTGTCTACATTCTACTTTTTAGTGAATATAAATTGGTACAGCATTAGGAGTTGCACATCTGATAGGGGTTTTCCCCCCTTATAATTGCATCCTCTGAAATCCAGCCAGGAGTAAGTGTTCCAGAAGTCCTAACATGTATATACTGTGTAGTTTATGTGGAGGTTTAGTGGATTGAGTTAGCTGTGATCATTTATTCCTGGACGTTATCCTTATGGAAATTTGTCAAGTTAATATTCCTGTTGGGTGAGGGCCACTTCAATGTTTGTTTTAAGAAAGTGTAATAGAATTTGGATCATGACTTCAGCAAGTATTTTTGAGTAAGCTGCTTTTTACTGGACTCAAAGGGAACAATAAGGAAATTCAGGTTTGTCTAAGCCTTTTTCACATGTAGATATGGTGTTAGGCTCTGAAAATCTCATGGCAGATGAACATGTCTGGTATGAAAGAAGGAAAAATGAAAGCAAGTCAGGTTTTGTCCTGAGGAGCAGTAGATAAGGGGAGGAGAACCCTAGCAATTTGAAAAGTGCTTTAGCTCTCCCTTTGCAGATTTTCCATGGAGAGGGAAGAATTCATCTGCCTAAGGAAATACTGTGTTGTGCTTGAAACCGCTGTTTTGAGTCTGGTAGCAGTAGAAATGTCTTCAGCAGTGCATTAGATTCCCTTTCTCTTCTGTTCTCTTTTGGGAGGTTTTCCTAAGTGTTTTCCTCAGAAACAGGGATGGATTGTTGCCACCAAGGTTCAGGTCTTGCCTGGCTCACATCTCAGCATGGCTCTTTCTGTCTTTCTGAGCTGGCAAGGGTGTGGGAACACCCTTGTAGACCTGTTTGGGATCACTGGTCCCAGCAAGCAGTGATCCTACAGCAGCTCTTCAGCTTTCTAGGAATTGTGTTTTGTGGGGTATCTGTATTTCTCACTTAGTATTTGAAAGTTCTTTGAACAGAGATAGTTTCTTTGTGCTGGTGTTTGTGTCCTATGGGATGTATATTTTCAGGAGCTGCAAACTATAGCTGTTCAGACAATGACAGAGAGCTGCTTTGTGAACATTGCTGGCCTGCAGTGAATCACAGTAATGATGGAAAACCTCCAACTGGTCTAAAATTGCAAAGAACTGTCAAAGAGGAGTTTGCTTTGGATCGCTCATAGGATTTGCTCTATCTCAGCTTAGCCCTGTTTCCCTGGAGAGCTGAAGGCACAAGGTTCCTTCTGACTGCTTCACTGTGCTCTCTTGTGTCCTGTGGGGTCCAGAGGTGGAAGGACAGCTGCTTCATGGTGGGTAATAGTGAACAGACAGCTCTGTTCACCTGTGAGACAAAAATACCTGGTAGGTGTGGTAGGGTACTATTTGTCCCCTTAAACAGCTGCGCAGAAAACTAGACTCAAATTGACTTCACAGACTAGTAGTAAAGGTTTTGCAGAATGTAGAAGAAAAAGAAGCTGGACCCAAATGTCCCACTTCCCCACTTCTTCAGCAAGTGTGGTCAGGTTTGCTATGACTTGTTCTTTCAGATACTATGGGAAAGCCAGTTTCACAGGGTAAGCACTCTGCATTTCTAATGAGCTTGTTGCTTTTGTGTGAGCTAGCGTTAAATAAGCAGCCTCCAAAAGTCAGATATGTCTTTTAAAAGACAGTAACGATGTGAATTGTTAACTTGGAATCAGTAGTGTGCCAACAGTGTACAAATTTTCCAAAGACTTAAGCTCAAACATGATTACGAAGCAATTGCTTATAAACCCATTCTGAAATTGCTCTGTTAACTTCAGTCTCTTCTGTGTTTTAATAAATTGCTGTTCCTTTATCTCAAACACTGACTCAGAGCTCAGCTGAATTGCCACAGCCTCTTTCTGTGTCTGTGTTGCTGCACATTCTGGTTCACAGCTCAAGTAGTACTGATGTAGCAAATCAGGATTGCATTGTATTACCTGAATAGTGTAAGGAAACACAAATTATTCTGGACTGCAGCCAGAGCTTTTAGCCTTGTGCTTTCCTAAATATCAATGTAAAATTATTATTTGTTAAAAAAAAAAAAAACCACACACACAAAAAAAAACACCACATGTGTGTGTAAGGGGCCCTCATGCACCCTGGAATATTCCCACTGAACAAGGTGGGGAGGAGGGGGGTTTCTGGGATTGAAAAAGTTCTTGTGTTGTGAGTAGCCTGTCTGAAGGAAAAATACTTGCTTATCAAGGAGGCTTGTGGCTCTATGAATCTGCTTGCTTTCTTTTTTTTTCGGCCTGTTTGCACAAGCATCAGGGTGCCTGCTTCCTAGGCTAAGATGCAGGCATCTCTCATGGCACAAGTCACTATGGTACCCAGCTTTTGTGAAGCATTCCTGTTTCACTCCTCAACAAGTACACAGATATGTACATGTCTGTGTGTCTGCACACCGATTTATGAGTTGCCCCATGTCATGTGCTTTGCTCTGTTTGAGAGCATCCATTGTACTTTTGAGAAGCTGGCAGCTTCTAAAGAAGAGCCTCTCCTGTGACTGCAGCTCCCTCACACTCAGCATTGACCTATTTCTTACCTTCTCGATTTTGCTTACTTTCACTCACTACTTACCTGCCCAGGAAAAGTTTTAGATTGTATTCCTCTTCCTCTACTCTGGTAAATTAAATTATGGAAATAAGAGTGTGGGTTTCCTACTGAGGAAGGATTTCAATATGTAAGAAATCAGATGTGTTTGGCAGTACCTGGACTTTTGATAGAGGTGTAAGTATTGCATACAAAGCTAAGATGGCACTAAAAACTCATATTCTTCAACAGAGGGAGGTGCTTTTGTTTCCACAGTGAATTCGTCACTTTTCATTTGTGCATAGAGCAGAGCTATCTAGGCAAATTTGTTAGCCTGCAAAGTATAACACTGGGAAATATTAAAGAGTTGCAAGAAGGTACTACAAGGACAGCATGCTGAACTTAGTAGTTTGTTTCTTTTTTTTTTTTTTTTTAAAAAGGGGGTTACTGTACTGCTCGTACTCAGCAATTTGACTGGTTTTTTTTTTTTTTTTAAAAAAGAGGGTTACTGTACTGCTCCTACTACAGCAATTTGACTGGTAGAAATCTTGAGGCAGTGCATAGATGAGACCCCAGAAGGGCACCTGTTAGGAAATGTATCTGTTACTTAAATATTTCTGTGATTCTGCAGAATAAAACATGGCCTTTCCCCTTATAGCATTGCAGTATAACGAAGTTAAATAATGAGTACCTTGGACAAAATTTATGGGGTTGTGTGATCACATTCTTGGTTGGCTATACCTGTCTGCAGTCTTAAATCTGCCTTTAATGTGTGATTAAAATGTGTGCAATATGTATGTCTGTAAACCTATATGTAGAATAGAGGCAGGAGGCAGGGGGATAAACAGCTTTGACTAAAGAGCTGTGTAGAATCATCCTGTAGTGACAGAGCATCTCATCCTTTCTTAGGTCTGGGATGATCAGTTACTGCCAGTTCTTTATTCACTGCTCATGGTCTCCAAAACAATGTGCACAAAGATAGAAATTAATCTATTTTCTGAAGAGCAGAGGAGTGAGAGGGTCTAGTTTAAGTGTCCTTGGCCCTTGAAACATGCAGTTACACCACAGCAGGAAAAGAGACACCACGTAATTCAAAATAAGTCCTTTAGTATTTGATGGTGAAAAATGGCATTGTCACACTCCCGATATGCCTTTTCTCCCATATGCCAAATAGAAGCATTCATTTCCCTTCTCCATCTCCAGCTGATCCATTTAGACTCTGAGTGTTATTTACTTTTCAGTTTCCTGAATTTATTTTCTTCTAGTTTAGCAGAAGACCTGGCAAAGTGCCATGTTCATATTGATTTATTAAAAAAGAGAAGAAAAAAAAAAGAAAATTAAGGCAATTGAGTATCCAGCTCTGCTGGAATTTATTTCTGCTGTCAGTGAACACTTCTTTGTTACAAGATCACAAGTTCTTTTAAGATAACACACTTCAGCTATACATTTTTCTCTCTATCAGCAAAGAATCTTGTTTTCAAAGGCAATAGGAGAAATACTGGGATTGAGGACTGTGGAGAACATGATATACATTGTAAAAGGCCTGTAAAACAAATTAATTAGAGTGACTGTGGGTAGAATTGTTTCTCTTCAGAGTGTCTGCTCATGGGACTTACTGGTTTCTGTGAAGTGCTCATCACTTTTCAAGCTCAGGTCCAAACTCCTGCTATAAAATTTTTCAAATATTTGGAATTCCTGCTGCTAAACAAGCAGAGCATCCACAAACAGCTGTATTCTTTCTTTTTCCCCCTCTTACCTGTACTTTTTCTATCATGAGCCATGGCTGCTTCTGCACTTTGCTCTTTATATTCTGTTGCCATGTAGTACTGTTTGTGTCAGAACTGCTGCCTTGTTTGACCTTTTGTTTGCCTTCATCATCTTGTGCAATGAATAATTGTTATTCCATGCCCTGGGGCTTCCCCAGTCCCATCTGTTTCAAGTCTCTAGCATGCTGTTACCTGCACTGAGTTGCTTCCATCGAAAGGAAACGTGGCCAAATCCTCATATTGCAGTTCTCTCTGAGGAGAAAAAGCAAAAGCTTTCCTTTTGCTTCACTGAGTTCCCTGTGTGTGAGCCTTGTTCTCTGCAGCACCTATCACTGGAATGGACTGCCAGTCTCATTGATTCTCCATCTCAATTTGAAATCTTGTTTGGGAAAGGAGAAAGAAATTCCTCCTTCAAGTTACGGAATTCTGTTGTCAGGAGCAGTCGAGCACTTGTGATGAGAGTTAAGTCTCAGAGGCTGGCTGATAACAGCACTGCAGTGAAATAAGTCTTTCAATGCTAACATCTGTTCTTGGTTTTGTTTTTCTTTGCCCTCTTGTTTAGAATTTGGAATGGTTTCCCTGATATTTTCTGCAGCGTTGGCCTACTTCCCCTCGCGCCCTCCATTCCCCCCCAGCGTGGCTGCAGCGAGCCAGCGGCTCAGCTACAGGAGAAGTTTTTGCAGACTCTTAAGGTAGGACCTCATTGGGTTTCCACTTCAAAGCAGATCAGTGCCTAAGTAAATAAAAACAAGTGTGCTTTAATCTTCTCATTGAGCAAACAAGTTGGTTTGTAGTACTTTTAAACAAAATAAAATTAAATATTAATGTCAAGACATAAAAGGATGCTAACTGCTAAAGAGCAGACATTAAATTTTAAACCACTGTGTATATTTCCACTCTTCATGCCAGTCCTTCAGCACCAGCAGTGCTTAAGTCATCCTGTTAGCATGGCTTTTCTTATGCAATGCTTCTGTTACATCAGGTTATACAAGATTGTTAAAAGTGAACCATGAGAAAACAGTGAAAAACACTGGGCAAAACTAACTTCTAAGTAGTTTTTTTTTCTATGCTTATTGGAATGAATGTGGGGTTTACTTGGCTTTTGAAGGATTATTCAGCTGCTTTCATTCAGCCATAGAAGCAATGAATGAACTATCTAGAACTGTTATATGATCTATTAAATCTCATTAATTGTATGTTAAAATACGAAGTGGGAATAGGAAAAATGTCTCCAGGTGTGTTTCTGGATAGGCTCAAAGGTGAGCTAGCTTGCTTTGAATTTTCAGGTTAAATAAAAAGAGGTTATAAAGAAAGTGATGGTATTGCAGCTTCTCCCTCTTGGTTTCTTTTGGTAAGACACAGTTCCACTTCCCCCATTGTTTGTTCAGTGTCTTGTGTAATGCAGATATGATCTCAGAGGAGCAGCTAAAGCAACTGTACTATTAAGGGTGAATAATTGTGAAAGCCCATGCCCTGTAGATGATACTGCACAGAAGAACTTTCTGGGGTAAAGAAGAGCTGCTCCCCTGGTACAGAATATGACTGACTTCACTGGGAAGCTTCTGACTCTTGCTGTAGTTGTTTGCTGAGTGATGTAGGAGCTGAATCTGTATATAAAGGGTTGCTTCAAGCTCGATAATTGTGCTGCTTTAGACATTTAGTTACTACAGACCTAATGTGGGCTGTACTTTCAATAATTGTATTTAGAGGCAGCTGAAACAATTCATCCCTTGTCACTGGGTTTTCTTCTCTTTTGTTTTTAAAGGCTTTTTTTTTTCTTTTGGGTGAGTAAATAGTTGGCAAGATGCTTAATCCTGTGTGTTCATCCTGGAGCAGGCTGGCACTCAGGAGGTGTGAGTACAGCTGGGTGGTTAGTCTGCTAAGTGACCTATTCAGGGTATTAAAAAATAGCAGTTCTCTTAAGGACACTTATCATACACAAGAATGCTGTTCTGCACCCAAGCTGATGTGCTGTTAGACCCTGCCTGAGGGCTGTGTTGTAAAAATGTTGCTGTTGAACGGAAATCCAAACAGCAACTGGCTTTGCAGGTAAATTATAAAATTTTAGTTGACAGTGCTTCATTTGGGAGTTTTATAACCATTAGATTCCGTGTGCAAAGTGTTGTAAACAGTGAACCTGAGATACTGGTAAGGTCTGGATGTAAATAGCAAAGCTGTCTTACTGTTAACAATAACCAATGAAACTTAAGAAAACAAACTGGACTTTTCAATAATGAGTATAGTTTACAGTGTCTCCAAGAACCAAAAGGGCTTTTTTAAAATGTGGACAGGTAGATAATTATATCTCTCTTCCCTCGGGTTTTGCATTCTTCCATGCTACCCTTTATCAAAGGCACTTCTTCATTCCTCTGTACATGAAATAATCAACAGTTCATCATTAAACCCTCTTATCTTGGGGAGCTGTTCAGTAACAATCTGTCATGCAAGGGAGTTTTATAAAAGAAAATGGTATCTGCCATGCTTCAAGAGAAATCCATCATCTGGTTCATTAGGCTTCTAAGTTCTGTTGCCTACCTAATCTAGGCTTCATCTTGGCTTAGAGAGCCTTTCTTTAGACTTGGTGGTGTAGACTGAAGGTTACCAGCAGATGAGTAGCAGGAAATCATGATTTCCTTTTATTGTGTGTGAGGCATTCAGGACGTGTGTGAGCTGGTGGGCTGACCCAGCAGTGCACCAGATACACTCATGAGAACTGAGATGTTCATAATTTCCCTGTCTTCTGCACCAGGCTGCAGTTTTATTAATTTGAAATAAGGCAACATAGCATAACCTTACCATTTAAGTTACTGACCTTTTCTCCTTGGACACCAAGGGGATCTATCATATCCTTGCAATTCCCACACTCCTTTGTGCCTTCTGGTCCTTTGGCAGTCTTCTGCATGAGCTGCTTCTTGCAGAGTTATTACACCATCAACAGAGGTCAGCCATCCCCTGTGGGCCCTTTTTGGGGGATGTTCTTAGGAACTTGATTCTTCCTTCTGATTTGGAGGGTTCCTCCTGACAGATTGTACCAATTAGTTGATGTCTGATTATCTCCTGATACCAGCTTTCTCAGCCTGTAGTGGGAGACAACAGATTGGTCATGGTTTGGGAGCTAAGCCCAAATATTTTAACAGTCTATCACACACTGTGACAAGTGCAGTTTGAATTTCTATTAGAAAATGTGTGGTGCCCTATCTCAGTTTCTTGGGTGAAGCAAATATGACTTGTTTTTATTTCCCCAGTTCAGGATATTCCACAAACTTCAATGGAAAAAAAATTCTAATACAAGTAAATGCTTGGTGAGTCTGAAAACCTGCATTAAAAAAAATGTGTTGTGATTTTTGTTTTGAAGTAATAAGGTGCTTTTAGCCAGTTACATGGCTTTTATATTTTCTAGGGACTATGTAAGCAATTTTGAAATTTTGTATCAGGGGTTTTATGCATCATTGTTGCTTTAATGGCACTTTCATCAATAACAACATCCAGTAATGGAAGCTGCTCAGAATGTGCCTGATGTTAATAGGCACTGTCAAAGTTAGTCTGAAAACAATGACTGACTTTGATGGGGCTCCCCTCTGAACCAGCCTGTCTTACAGATTCTAGTGGCGTTTGGTTTCTGAAAAAAACAGAGGAAAAATCAATTCATATTCCAGCACAATGGCTTAACAGAGAGGCTAATTCTGATATCCTGTCATTGCTGATAGGATGGAAAACAGTGTGGGTTCAACAGCTGATGGTGTGACAGACAGCACATTTTTCTACTTTCAGTGGTGCAATTGCAAAATTGCAAAAGCTGTGCACAAGTGACTGGAGCCATGAAAAGTGGAGCTGCTACTGAAGATGTGTGTTTGGAATGGCTTTAGCCAGCACGAGGTATTGCTGGGCAAGGGGGCAGAATGACACCTGGTGATCAGTATCTCTGTCACTGCCAGGCTCCCTTTCTCCTGGTCACCTTCCTTGTTGTGAAGACTAGGCAGGGGAGCAGGCTCTGTCCCTGGAGATGGTCATCATGCAGAGCTGTTACTGTAGGATTGGTACTAGGGGTTGGATGTGGCACAGAGCAGCTATCCACATCACAGTCTGTATTGTTGCTTGAGTTACAGAACAAATACAGCACAGAAAACACTGATCAAGTAAAGGACAAAGTTCTCCCTCAAAAGTAGCTCTTTAATATAATTGAGGTCCAGGTAGCCAAAGATTTTGAATATTCAGCAAGTGTTATTTCAGAACAGTGCATTCAGACTTGTTTCCTCTTAGCAATCTACAATATGGCTCTATAAGGTCCATGCAAAATTCCCTTTTATTTTATTTGACAAATGTTGAAATGTTATTCACATGGATAGTATTAAATAGCATCAAATGCCAAGGTGGTACAAGATAAGCTAGGATAAGAGTATGGCATTTTTAAAAAAGGAAAAAAGTTGTCAGTAGCATTCAGAGCTACTAATGTATAGAAGAGCTGAAAGTTTGAGTGTTGTTTTTCTTTGCATTAAAAGATAAATCTGACACAAATGATATTGAAAGCGGAGGATATGTTCATGGGATAGAAACATGTTATTCAAGAAGAGGATGTGTGAAAAAGAACAGTGCAGAAAGCACTGGCTGCTGCGTTGTGTGTGGAGCATCTAAGGGAGTAAAACAGCATAAGCTGCAAACTTACAAATGTTTTGGAGAGTAATTGAATCTCTCTCTCCCTCTTGGCTTTTGTAACTGTGTGCTATCAAATTGCCACTGCTTGCCAAGGAACTGGTACTGATCAGGATCAATTTTATGTAAATTGTTTGAGACCATAGGGAGCCATGTTTCGGGTTACGCAGATATCCCATGGGATAACTGACCTTGGAATCACCATAAAATCTCTTCAGTTTAAAATATCACAGTTTCAGATTCCAAAGTGTATTTTCTTTCCCATTTGAAACATTTTTGATGAAAACTTGGATGTCTTAGCAAGGATTTCACATTTGCTTTCAGTTATGGTGAGTGGGGGAAATTGTTGGTTAAATTCCTGTTTAGCTCTGTACATTGAAGATGATGATACAGCTTTGACTGTTTCACCTTCACTGAATACTAAAGGTTGAGTAATTGGGAGGAAAAGCAAATATGTTGACTATTTAGAGTATTATATCTGTCTCTGGTTTTTGCCAGTTCAAATTGTCAAAATTTTTCACTCTTGCAACTGTATCTGTCTCATTTCCAGAGCTTTCCTTGCCTTTCACCAAAATAAAGAGAATTAAAACAGGCTTGGTGGTTTTTTTTTTTTGATCTTTTAAGTGCAGTTCAAGAGGGACGAATCTCTGATTTTATTTTTGAAATAAGCTTTTAATCTTTTATAATAATAAATAATAAGCACAAGGCTTATTATTCCTAACATACATTTAGGCTAAGTAGGTTGCCCATGCCAATGCATGGAAGAATTGCTTGCAGAAATGAGAAACATATGAGCCCAGCATGTTACAAAGATCTTTGAACTATGTGGAGAGAGTGGCTTTTCCTATTATCACTGTGCTAAGGTGGCAACATATCAGCCACTAGGAATTCAGTGGCATGGCTGGATACCTTTCTTGATTTCCCTGGCTCACTTCTCCTTCAGACCTTTGCTGATTTTCTTGATAGGCAGAATATAGATTCGAGGGTGTGATTTACTCTCCTGGCTAATCTTGGTGCAATTTCTAATAGAAGCTGAGGCTAATGGCGTTGTTTTATCTTCACAGCAATTTCCGATTCTTGATGATTGCTTTGGCCTATGCGATACCACTGGGTGTTTTCTCTGGCTGGTCTGGTGTTCTGGATTTGATATTAACACCCATTCATGTAAGCCAGGTTAGTATCTCTTGACTGATAATCAGCAGCTATTTTATAAGTGGTATGTTTTTATTTTTCACTAGCATGCAGTTTTATCAGATTTTTATGTTTAACATGCTGTTAATACATATGGACCACTTTACTCCCTGAAATTTTAAACAAAATGAGCTGTAGCTTTGGCATCCCAAACTGTCAAAACTCTTCCTGCAGACTCTCCATCAGTGGTGAGTGTTTTCAGAACTGTACATGCCTTTTAACAAAAAGGAAGAAGTAGGTAAAAAAGTGGGAGTATTGTTAGCTGCTGCATCTCTAGTGAAAAAAATACTGCATGCGTGGTGAAAAAGATGAAGTGCGGAGAGGATGATTTCTAAGCTTTTGATAGAGTATTATAGAAAAACAGAGGACATTACTCAGATTCCATAAAGAGAGGTCACATTTAGGGCATAGACTACTTAGTCATACTTTCTTCTGGTGAATTTATTTCCTTTCCCAGAAAAAGCCTTGCACTTCAGATTATTGTAGAGAACTGTTGTTAGCAGTTTGGAGCTCCTGCACAGCATTTGTTTTGAAAGTAACATCATCTTATTTTCTGAGCTTTAACACATTTCTTTATGTTTTTGTTTTTTGTTTTTTTTCCTGTCAGGTGGATGCAGGCTGGATTGGATTTTGGTCTATAGTTGGAGGTTGTGTTGTTGGCATAGCAATGGCAAGGTAGGAATAATTACAGGTCCTTCTCCATTTCTTCAGTTGTGATTGTCATTTAGTTTATCCTCTTAAGAACAGAACTTGTTTTCTCTCATCTTTCAGAAACTTGAAGTGGAGAATTCCTTTTGGGGTTATAATGTATTTCTAGTAAAGCCATAATTTGTACCACGTTGGTGTTGCTGGGGATTGAGAACTCCACATGCATGTACCTGAATTTGGAAGTCAGATTCTTGTTCCTGACAATGGCTTCCTGTATGCTGCTTTTAAAGACAGCTCTGGTGAATTCAGCTGCCTGGTATGAGGGACAACCTCATTGTACCACATTTGGAAAGCATTGAAGAAATTATTTTCTGTCTCCTTCCATTAACACTTTTGGGCATATTGTTTCCCAAAGGGATATAGGGAATGTAGCACAGGCAGCCTACCCACAATAACATTATGTTCTTCCACAGAGAAATCAGCCTGGGCCCATTTTGGGCAGGTTGCTGGATTCCTGCATAGGCAAACTATTTTCTGCTGTATCCTATGGGCTATGGTATGGGTATCTGTATGCTTTTTGTAATTCCAGACACAGCTGTCTCTGGCCATCATGAGCTGATGACATGGGGAGTAGAACAGCAAGAAATGGATTGCCCTTCCAAAAGGCTGCTGTTTCTCATTCATTGAGGTCCCCTTTAGGAAAAGAGATGGTGGGAGGGAGAAAATATCTTTTAGGAGGTACCTGAGCAGTGAGTTTATTGTGTGATTAAAACCAATCACATGTTCCCCTTGCTTTGGGATATCTCAGCATTGTCCTGGGTTCTCTGTGTCCACTCTTTAGACTCTATGTGCAGATATCTGCAATTGTTGCATCATCATGGTGTTGTGGATGGAGAGAGTGATCTTTTTAGGACTCTCTTCTTTTTCTTTTTGGAACTCTCTTTTTTTCACTTGCTGTGCTTCATCAGAGTACACAATGCATAAAGAAATGTGAGGTTTCACATCCTGACATTTTGCAGGCTGCCTAGCAACTGCAACAGGGAGAGGAAAAAACTCCTGACCTAGGGAAAAGAAACAAGTGCTTCTCTCCCAGCCGCTCCAGATGCAGGCCAAAGGACTTCATCTAGCCAAACAAAGTTCATGCCCTGATTTCTTCTAAAAAGAGTTGCTTTTGATTAGCCAAGCTCAGATACAATGTTTTCTCTGTAAGAGAATAGATGGTTAAAAGCAACTGGTGCAAATGACACAGATGCCACAGGTTGCGCGTTGAAGCAGGTAGACTGCCATTTTTCATCATGAGTTAATCTCTAGTATGTTTGCAACATTTCAATAGTGGAGCTTAGAAGCTCACTTAACTTTACTAGGAGAGAATCTGCAAACTCTATGTCAACATGCAAATCTCAGTCTTTATGGTAGATTAATTTATTTAATATACTTGCTTGGGTTTAGCTTCAGGAAATGCAAGCAGTCCCTTTAACTGCTTCAAAATTGATTTCAAGCCTTGTTGAATACCTGTATTTTGTAGCATTTAGTAAATTTAAGAAATACCAACAGTCTGTCTCCAAATATGTCTTTCTAACTTGGGTGATGCACAGTTCAGATGGGAGGGTTTGCATACAGAAAGGGAGGGAGAAGGTGATTTGTCACTTCTGATGGATGGCTCTCCCTCCTAGGCCTATTCAGCATTTATCTGTGTAGGGTTGAATCAATGATGAGTCTGACTGTAATCTGCTGAAAGTTGTAATTAGGAAAATTAAGTAATGATTCTTGTCAAAGCTGACAAGTTGATATATTTCAGTGTCAGAACTGTGATTTGCCAAGCAAGCAGCTCTCTCCCTTAACCACCTCTCAAGAAGCTGTTAGTTTTGGGGTGGGTTTTTTTTTCCTTTTTTTCTTCTGCTAATTTGTTAAAGCAAAATTGGTGCATCTTAGGAATTTGCTGCTTCCATTTTTGTCAATGCAGATTCTATAATTTAGAATTTTTAACAACCTGAGCCTTGCCCTGGAGCATTAGGTCGTGTACATCACAGTAGGTGTTAAATCATCTGATTTTAAAGTAATGCCCAGTTTGGAAATTTGTTTATCTATCTAGTTTTCAAAATGCTGCAAGTTTCTCTCAGCATTATACATAAATCCTTCTACTCTCCACCCACTGCTGTCCTGATAGCCATGAACTTACATGTTTAGCTAATGTGTTTGATGCATTTCTATCATTGAAAAGCCTGGCCTATTTTGGGCAGCTGGTAGGTGCTGTACTCTTTGCTGGCAGCTTTCAAATGCTACTAGTTTGAAGAAAAGCAGTGTCAAAGAGCAGCATTCATATAATTGCATGGAAACATGAATCTATTCCCTTTTCTCAGATTTTTAATTTTTTTTTCCCACATTTGCCAAGGATCAGAGATATTTCTGAGGTTTTGTCCTCTGCAGCTCAGTTTCAGTTCCTGCTTCTAACCTGCAATCTAGTCAAAATGCTGAAACTTTATGGCATGGTGATAATTTCCTTAGCAACAGACAGTGTTGTCAGCAGTGCAGGTTTGTGATTTTAACTGCAGGATACAACCTAAGGCTGGATCTGCTGGGAGGCTGGAGACTCTACCCGCAGCAGGCTCAGAGGTGTGTGTCTGGCAAAGTATACACCTTCTCTGCTGTTGTGCCTAGTTTTTTAGCAGTTGCAGGCAATTCCTTACATGCTAGATGATACAGAAGGATTTATGCAGAACAGAGGTTTGAAATCAGGTACAGGGTCTGAGGATAAAAGTAATTTCTCATATTTTTTGATTGAAGCAAGTATTATGAAGAGTAGACTAGGTTTAGAGTCTTCTTTATTCTCCTGTAACCAGACAAGAAACAGAAGTCCTTCAATTACTAAGTTCAGGCTAGGTTATTATGTAATTTTTTTCTATTATTTCTATTGCTGGCTGAATCCAATAGCTGAATAAACCTGTACTTTGGGATACATTTGACCCTTTTGGAGTTCTGTGATATCTGAGAGCTCTTTGGAGCACACTGCTACCCAAACTGGGATCTTTGTGTCAGGAAGAGTTGCAGCTGCTTGGTAAAGGTAGGTATTTTCTCCACTTAGCTGTCATGAATGGATTAGATGCATACCAGCCTCTCATCCCCACATATCTTTGGTGGTGGGATAGACACCAAGGATCCTCTAGAGATCACCTCCAGACCTGTAGTCCCTCCTAGAAGGCTGATACTTCTCACATTGTTTCATTAGACAGGATCTACATCACTGCCCTTGCCTGTAAGGACAGTGATGTTGTCTGCCAGCAGGCAAAGCTGGAGTCTCTGTGGAATAAGCTGGAAGTTTACACTTCGAGATCCTTCTGCAAAGCTTTTAAAATTGCTGATTTTGACCCTAGTGATCCCAAAGAATAATTAAAGAAACTCACTGGCAAACCAGTGAGGCGATCCTGACTCCTCGATCAGATTGTTAGAAAAAAATCCACCAGCAGCAGCTGACCTCTGGCTATTGGAGATGAATGCATAAGCCACTTGAACACTGCAGTCATAAACTTCTCAGATTATATGCAGCATTGATCTCCCACTACTGCTTATTGAATTCCTCACTGCTAAATTCAATGTGGAATTCAGGCATGGGGAGAATCAAAATACCAGGAAAGAGGTTGGTTTGGGTGAGCAGAGAGTGTTTGAGTGCACTACTCCGACGTCTCTTACGCTGTATTTGGAAATTCTCAAAATTTTGGCATCATTTCATGTTTTATCAAGTAAACTATAAGGTATCTGCTTATAGAGTAATCTTTGTCAGGGCAGAGAAGGCAGTAAACTGGTAGACAGGCAAATTTCATCTTGGATGAATCTAGGTGGATTATGCTGCCATTGGCCTAATCAAGGTAGGAGCCTGTCAAGGGGGCAGAAGATATGCTTTAGAAATACATACCTAACCTGTCCATCCCAAAATTAAATCTCCTAAGCAGGAGATTATAGAAAATTACTCATGAATAAATAACATTGCCTTTTGTAATATATCTTTCCCAGTAGTTAGGTTGACATACCCTTTGAAAAGAGCAGTTGCACTGATAATTATGCCACATGAGCACTGCTCATTCTGTCTCCTTGAAAGAAAAAGGGGGAAAAAAAGATGAAAAAAGCAGTTGTACCATCAGGTGGTATAAATACCATAATTCCCTCTATATAACAGCCAGACTGCCCAAGGACTTGTGGGGCTATCCTCTCCCAGTCTGTCAGCAGGGTCTGTGTAGAAGAGGAGTAGCACCAAGCTTGTGGTTTCTGGAACTTTTCAACCCAAAACAGCCTCTGGTGGAGTTGACCCCCTGTGTAAGGAGTTCCTTCCTTGCCTAAGCCACCACGAGCTTCTTCACCAATGCATCCAAGGGTTCAGAAGCTGTTCCTTGTCATCTTCAACTAGGGATTCTTTGGACTCTTTTGGAGTTTTTCCATTTCCCACAGGAATGAATCTTGACACTTAACTATGTCTTGAATGAAACGCGGCAGCCTCCTCATATGCTAATGGAGCTCTGTGTCTGCCAAGGGAGGCTGGCAAATGCTGACAAAACAGCGATGGAAGTAGTGGTGAGATATTGTGTCCAACAAATGCAGAAGAGAAAAAACCTCTCCTCCAGTGTTTTCATTTGATGCCTTGAGAATTGCTTGAGAATTGTTCTGGTTTGGTTGTTTGTGACAGCTAAAAAATCCATGGCTCTTCAGCTTGACTGCTAGAAATATCACTATTCTATAAAATTACCTTTTTTCTATTTCTGAAAATTAGAAATTACTTTTAAATTGTTTCTATAGTCTCCAGAATGTTTAATGACAATATACTGAATTAATTGTCAAGTATCCCATTTAAATGATATGAAAATCAGCATTTGTACTGCTCTGTTTTTATTTTAGATTTGCAGATTTTATCAGGGGCATGCTGAAGTTCATACTGCTGCTGCTTTTATCTGGAGCAACATTAGCATCAACCTGGTTCACTCTCACCTGTCTAACTACTGTCACTCATCTGCCTTTAACCACAGGTACTGACAATGATTTTAATTCCTGTTCTTTATAATTGATATTGCAGTCAAATATTTGCAGTCTTCAATATCTTATAACATGGTTTGGTATCTTCAGTAATATAGTAGTTTTTCTGAGAAGAAAAAAAAAACCAAACAAATACCAAACGTTTAGAAAGTCTGTTGAACCTGAAATATCTTCACTGCTTTGAATAACTCAATAAAAAGATTAAAAACTTGAAAAACCCAATAACAGGAACCCTGAATACACATTTAAATTTGATTTGGGGACTAAGTGTTTTTCTGTTTTGAGTCCTTTGGAATAACTGAAGTGAGAAATAAATCAAGAAAAATCAGATGAATGAGAGTAGTGTTGCATATAAGAAACAGTGACGTCTGGGAATTTAGGGGTTTGAAACTTGCATTAGTTATTAGAATCTCATGGTGCATTTCAAACCAAGGTGACCCATAGTGTTTTCAGCCATCTAAATCTGTCCCTGCATGGTGCTGTCCTCTTTTTTTGCACCTGCATGCAGGTTCAGGGAACTCTTCCAGCCCAAAATTAACTCAGTCTGTGCCTCAAAAAGACAGGAAAAAAAGCTGTTGGCAGGAGTGGGGGAAAAGCTCAGAGGTCTAGTTGGGCTGCCAGCGAGCTGTACCCTTAGTTGAAAGCTAGCACTGCTTAATTCTTAAAAATCTGTCCTTCACCTTATTTTATGCACCAAAGGGCTGATCCACCTGTGATTCCAAGACATTCAACAGACTAGCAAGTTACAGTACAACCTAAGTCATCAATATTAAAAAATATATTTATTTAGTAAAGAATTCCATAAATCCATTTTAAATGAAGGGCCATCTCTGTTATAAGCAGTTTATGCATTCTAGGAGATACGAAAACTTATTTTTTACCCATTTTTAATAAAAGAGTTTGGTGGGGAGAGCAGTATATAGAGTAGTGTTTTACTCAAATTAAGTTTGAGTTTCAGTAAGTGTCCTTGGTGCAGTGCAAATGTCACAACTATAAACTAAAGTGGGTACAGCAAATTGAAATACATGATCAATTCAGGAGCAACACCATCTGGATGGATAGGTCAAATTTGTGCTTTATCTTGAAATTTCAATGCTTTCAAAAATTCTGCTTAAATAAAACATAATTTAATCAATAAACAAATCAAATTTCATGATGGCTGTTGTCATACTAAATGACTACACATTTCCATCAAATCTAAAATAAAAGCAATAAAAGCTTTTTTCTCATGCTTGCCTGCTTCATCACTACAAGCCTGCAGTAATGTAAATTTTTACAGTAACTCTATCCTCTGAATTGATGCAACAAACCAAACACATAAATGACCCTTCAAGTCTATGCATAAGAATGAAGCAGAAACCTTTCAAGAGGGGAAAGTCATTATGTATGTACTCACCAGTGTTCCAAAACAAAACTGATGGAGCTCTCTCTGACTTTATTTTATTGGTTTTTTGGTAAAGAATTCGGCATGCAACATAGGTTCTATAAGAATTCTTATTTTTATGGCATGTAGGTGCATTGTGCTGGGTTTTTTTTTTTTTTTTTGAAAGGTCATCCAATGTCAGGACATAAAAGTAGGTAGGGTATTTGTGGTTTGATATATAGTGTCCTAAACTAGCATCCCTTGCTTCAAATGCAGGGATTGGGTTGTACTTCTCATGCAATTACTATTTCTCTTAAAATGGATGATTCCTTAGGTTAAGTTGTAATTAGAGATCAGATTTTTCTGTCAGTGCTTTTCTTACATATGCCACTGTAAATACTGAACCCTTTTCTTTAAAACAGAAGGTTGTTCTGAATAGAAGTGTCAGGAATGTGGTGCATTCCTCAAAAAAAAAAAAAAAAAAAAGGCAGTCTAAAGCTTCAGACTCTAACATGCAGCCAGAAAATAAGATCTCTTTTTTCTTCTGTTTAAATTTCATAGATATGCGGTGGGGGAAGGTTCTTATCAGGCTTTTCTCATTAAAGTTCTTAAAAAAATAGATGTAATGTGCCTGTTCAATTTAGTTCCTTGCACACAGAAAAGCAGTGCTATATCTTTATGAAATATGCTGTTATGGATGAAAACACACAAGCTATTTAAGCTAATTTATAGGACTTCATGCTAGATTATTCCTCAGTGTAATGATGCAACATGATGATGACCTCTGCATTCACAGTAATTGGGAGAAACGGTACATTTGAATTGATTTGGATGAACTTCTTTTTATTCTTCTCCTTTTAATTAAAAGTTTCAGATGTAGAGTGTATTGGAGTACAAATCTAGGAGGTCAAATGCAGGCTGTGGGCTGGCAGCTTTTGGAAGTGATTAGTTGTAGCTGGTACAGGTGGAAGTCACTCTGCATATCAGTGGGCAGGTGTTGACAGTGGACTGCCAAGTAGTTATTCTCTGTGTGTTTTGTAGAGCTTGAAGATGTGCAGAACAAAAGCAGATATCATTGTGGGGCTTTTCCCTCATTCATAGTTTTTTAAATTTTTTGGTTGATTTGTTTTTTTATCTAGTGTTCTTTTCTTTTCTCTTTTCTTTTTTCTTTTCTTTTCTTTTCATTTCTTCCCGAATTTCTTTTCTTTTCTTTCTTTTCTTTCCTTTTCTTTTCTTTCCTTTTTTTTCATTTCTTCCAGGCAAGGTCCATAAAACACTTTTCATTCTAGAGCCACTTTGCAGGTGACACTGGACACTGCTGTAAAGCAGGGGTTGTGTTATTCAAGGCAGGTTTTGGTGATGACAGAAGGTTCTCAGGCTCCTCCACTTCCTCCTGTCCTGTGGCAAAGAGCACAGGTGTTGGGCTTGGCAGTGCTACAGAGCCAGTGATAGATCTCAGTCCACACTTTCAGCTTTATTCAAATGCTGAGGCAGAGCAAACGGGGTTCAAAACTGACATGGAAATTTGTGGGGGTGTACATTTGATCTCCCAAAGAGGTTTTTCCTTCCAGTCATGTAGCTCCTGTTTTGGGAGGGACTTCCCCCTCCTCTCTTGGCCTGCCTCCAGTGTTGTTCTCTTGAACAAGTCAGGCTTTGCCCTACAAAGCCACAAGTGTTCAGCAATACCTGAGAACTGCTGAAATATCCACATGATCTGAAGGATTGCTGGTACAGTTAAAAGGCAGCTCTTCCACAGGAGGACAGGACTGTCATTTTGGGGAGGAGACAAGACACCTTGTGGGAGCCTTTGTACTGGCACAGGTGTTGAGGCAGGCTTCACCACAGAGATGGAGGCTGCTTAGATGGCATCATCATTGGCTGCTGTATCTCACCTAACAGCTGCTTGATCCATTAATAAAGTTTGCATCTATAGGCAGACCCTGACAGTGGTTTCCCCAGGTCCAAATCCAGTCTTTTCCTTTAGCATGTGGATAAGCTCACCTCCCTCTTCTGAAAACCCTCCGCTTGTCTCTCACCTGGGCTCAGAGCAAGCAGTAGGTGGATGTGTTTTTATGGAAGCATAAAAAAGATAAGAGAGTTTGGCCAATTATTCACCCTAAAAGAAAAGGAAAAAAATCTCTAAATATTTGTTTTTAAAATACAAGCAAACCAAAGCCCTCTTTTAATTGGTGTTCTTTGTGGCAGTTTTAGTTATGTCTGGTTTAAATATTGGGGCAGGGAAGGTATTTGAAAAAATGGTCACAGCAAAATATATTTTCCTCACCTTGTTGTATAATATTCTCCTAATTCCTTTTAAATAGGAACAACATCATTTAAAGATATTTCCTACAAAATGTAATTACTTAAAATGGAGACCTTTAATGCAGTTATTAAAAATCAATGACTGCATTTGTGGTTTTAAATTATACTGTTTAGGATTGTTTTTATTGAGTAATGGCTGCATTGCTTCATATTTGCATAATACGCTCCATTTTTCCTCCTCCCATGGAGGAAGACAAGTTTTGTGTCATTTGCTGACTTCTTAATGTAACTCCAAAAGACTTTATAAAAAGTGTATTTAGAGTTGTATATAGGAACTATAACAGCCAGTGCGGGCAAAAAAGAAAGCAAGGCAATAGTGATACAGTGCCAGCTACTATATCATCTGTCTAAAACACCTCTCATCAGCTAATCACAGCTCTCCAAAAACCTTGATTCTGGAATTGGTTTATATTTTAAGCAAGCTTGAATTTTATTTTAAGAAATTTTAATTTTAATGTATATTGTTTGCATTCAGTTTCAAAGACAATTTTATGTACACATCAAGCATTAAAATAGTTTTCTCCATTGAATTCTCAGTGCAGCTGCTGATCTATTTCTCTTTGCCAAGTTCATTGTTAGTTTGCTTTGTACTGAACTTCATTATGTGAATTTATGTACAATGGGATACTTCGACCCAAAATAATTGCGTAAGGCATTGTATTGCCAGTTTCAGTATCTTGCCACTTTGTATTGCTGGTAGAATCTCTGGATACAAATACTAGCATTTTCCAAAAATTGATATGCAACACTAGTTGCTTGCAGCTCAGATTGAATGTTTTCAGTGTAGCATATCAAGAATATTCTAATATTTATGAGCACATTCGGCAGAAGTTTGCTTTATAAAATCTTTTCTAGTACTGCATGGCAGACACTGAATATGGTGGCAACTCCATAAGCTGATGACTATATTTAGGTTAAGCAGCCCACACTTTTATTTTCAGGTTCAACAGATTGAACATTGTAAACACATCTGTCTCTCTGTCCTCATCTACAAAGCACAGAAGAAGAGAGGTTTTAATAATGTAATACTGATTGGTTTATTGTTTCAGTTTAGTTTCTGAGATGTGCTTGGTAAATGTAAGGCAGGGGAACCCAGAGGATAAAACAGTGGCCTGAAAAACATTAACCTGCTTAGGGCTTTGGGCAAATCATTACCCCAAATCCTGCTGTGCTTTTCCCACTCATAAGATGGGAATAATGAACTTTGTTTTGCTGACAGCTTCTTTAACTTCACAAATAGAAGAGTGCTTAAAGAAGTAATTTAGGGGGTTATTTTCTTTCAAAAAACACTGTTTAATTGTATACAGT